GTGCCCACGTGTCACTTTCCACGTACCTCTCTATAACATGACCCAGCTGTGACGTGAGTGGTCGCATTGATTTGATTTTTGGTTTGCTTGTAGGCCGCTGGCACCCGCATTCAGTGACGCTAAAATTTTGGCACTGCTGTGAATAGTTTAGCCGCAAAGTGAAGAATCACGGGCAAAAAGGCCCAAAACTTCGAGATAGCTTGATTTGAGCTTTGAGCAGCCCTGGGCAAGTTGTTTATTGAAATGTGGCATTTTTTCTTCGTGCACTTCCCTATGTCCAGCTAAACAACAAGATCAGGGTGGCGATGGTCAGTTCTTGAGCTTCGAACGGGCAGAAAGGTGAGAAATTGTCTCTTTTTGACCATTTGTGCCCACGTGTCACTTTCAACGTAACTCTCTATAACATGACCCAGTTGTGACGTGAGTGGTCGCATTGATTTGATTTTTAGTTTGCTTGTAGGCCATTGGCACCCGTATTCAGTGACGTCAAAATGTTGGCACTGCTGTGAATAGTTTCGTCGCAAAGTGAAGAATCACGGGCAAAAAGGCCCAACACTTCGAGATAGCTTGATTTGAGCCTTGAGCAGCCCTGGGCAAGTTGTTTATTGAAATGTGGCATTTTTTCTTCGTGCACTTCCCTATGTCCAGCTAAACAACAAGATCAGGGCGGCGATGGTCAGTTCTTGAGCTTCGAACGGGCAGAAAGGTGAGAAATTGTCTCTTTTTGACCATTTGTGCCCACGTGTCACTTTCAACGTACCTCTCTATAACATGACCCAGTTGTGACGTGAGTGGTCGCATTGATTTGATTTTTGGTTTGCTTGTAGGCCATTGGCACCCGTATTCAGTGACGTCAAAATGTTGGCACTGCTGTGAATAGCTTCGTCGCAAAGTGAAGAATCACGGGCAAAAAGGCCCAACACTTCGAGATAGCTTGATTTGAGCTTTGAGCAGCCCTGGGCAAGTTGTTTATTGAAATGTGGCATATTTTCTTCGTGCACTTCCCTATGTCCAGCTGAACAACAAGATCAGGGTGGCGATGGTCAGTTCTTGAGCTTCGAACGGGCAGAAAGGTGAGAAATTGTCTGTTTTTGACCATTTGTGCCCACGTGTCACTTTCAACGTACCTCTCTATAACATGACCCAGCTGTGACGTGAGTGGTCGCATTGATTTGATTTTTGGTTTGCTTGTAGGCCGCTGGCACCCGTACTCAGTGACGCCAAAATTTTGGCACTGCTGTGAATCGTTTAGTCGTAAAGTGAAGAATCACGGGCAAAAAGGCCCAAAACTTCGAGATAGCTTGATTTGAGCTTTGAGCAGCCCTGGGCAAGTTGTTTATTGAAATGTGGCATTTTTTCTTCGTGCACTTCCCTATGTCCAGCTAAACAACAAGATCAGGGTGGCGATGGTCAGTTCTTGAGCTTCGAACGGGCAGAAAGGTGAGAAATTGTCTCTTTTTGACCATTTGTGCCCACATGTCACTTTCAACGTACCCCTCTATAACATGACCCAGCTGTGACGTGAGTGGTCGCATTGATTTGATTTTTGGTTTGCTTGTAGGCCGCTGGCACCCGCATTCAGTGACGCTAAAATTTTGGCACTGCTGTGAATAGTTTAGCCGCAAAGTGAAGAATCACGGGCAAAAAGGCCCAAAACTTCGAGATAGCTTGATTTGAGCTTTGAGCAGCCTTGGGCAAGTTGTTTATTGAAATGTGGCATTTTTTCTTCGTGCACTTCCCTATGTCCAGCTAAACAACAAGATCAGTGTGGCGATGGTCAGTTCTTGAGCTTCGAACGGGCAGAAAGGTGAGAAATTGTCTCTTTTTGACCATTTGTGCCCACGTGTCACTTTCAACGTACCTCTCTATAACATGACCCAGTTGTGACGTGAGTGGTCGCATTGATTTGATTTTTAGTTTGCTTGTAGGCCATTGGCACCCGTATTCAGTGACGTCAAAATGTTGGCACTGCTGTGAATAGTTTCGTCGCAAAGTGAAGAATCACGGGCAAAAAGGCCCAACACTTCGAGATAGCTTGATTTGAGCCTTGAGCAGCCCTGGGCAAGTTGTTTATTGAAATGTGGCATTTTTTCTTCGTGCACTTCCCTATGTCCAGCTAAACAACAAGATCAGGGCGGCGATGGTCAGTTCTTGAGCTTCGAACGGGCAGAAAGGTGAGAAATTGTCTCTTTTTGACCATTTGTGCCCACGTGTCACTTTCAACGTACCTCTCTATAACATGACCCAGTTGTGACGTGAGTGGTCGCATTGATTTGATTTTTGGTTTGCTTGTAGGCCATTGGCACCCGTATTCAGTGACGTCAAAATGTTGGCACTGCTGTGAATAGTTTCGTCGCAAAGTGAAGAATCACGGGCAAAAAGGCCCAACACTTCGAGATAGCTTGATTTGAGCTTTGAGCAGCCCTGGGCAAGTTGTTTATTGAAATGTGGCATTTTTTCTTCGTGCACTTCCCTATGTCCAGCTTAACAACAAGATCAGGGTGGCGATGGTCAGTTCTTGAGCTTCGAACGGGCAGAAAGGTGAGAAATTGTCTCTTTTTGACCATTTGTGCCCACGTGTCACTTTCAACGTACCTCTCTATAACATGACCCAGCTGTGACGTGAGTGGTCGCATTGATTTGATTTTTGGTTTGCTTGTAGGCCGTGGCACCCGTATTCAGTGACGCCAAAATTTTGGCACTGCTGTGAATCGTTTAGTCGCAAAGTGAAGATTCACGGGCAAAAAGGCCCAAAACTTCGAGATAGCTTGATTTGAGCTTTGAGCAGCCCTGGGCAAGTTGTTTATTGAAATGTGGCATTTTTTCTTCGTGCACTTCCCTATGTCCAGCTAAACAACAAGATCAGGGTGGCGATGGTCAGTTCTTGAGCTTCGAACGGGCAGAAAGGTGAGAAATTGTCTCTTTTTGACCATTTGTGCCCACATGTCACTTTCAACGTACCTCTCTATAACATGACCCAGCTGTGACATGAGTGGTCGCATTGATTTGATTTTTGGTTTGCTTGTAGGCCGCTGGCACCCGCATTCAGTGACGCTAAAATTTTGGCACTGCTGTGAATAGTTTAGCCGCAAAGTGAAGAATCACGGGCAAAAAGGCCCAAAACTTCGAGATAGCTTGATTTGAGCTTTGAGCAGCCCTGGGCAAGTTGTTTATTGAAATGTGGCATTTTTTCTTCGTGCACTTCCCTATGTCCAGCTAAACAACAAGATCAGGGTGGCGATGGTCAGTTCTTGAGCTTCGAACGGGCAGAAAGGTGAGAAATTGTCTCTTTTTGACCATTTGTGCCCACGTGTCACTTTCAACGTACCTCTCTATAACATGACCCAGTTGTGACGTGAGTGGTCGCATTGATTTGATTTTTGGTTTGCTTGTAGGCCATTGGCACCCGTATTCAGTGACGTCAAAATGTTGGCGATGCTGTGAATAGTTTCGTCGCAAAGTGGAGAATCACGGGCAAAAAGGCCCAACACTTCGAGATAGCTTGATTTGAGCTTTGAGCAGCCCTGGGCAAGTTGTTTATTGAAATGTGGCATATTTTCTTCGTGCACTTCCCTATGTCCAGCTGAACAACAAGATCAGGGTGGCGATGGTCAGTTCTTGAGCTTCGAACGGGCAGAAAGGTGAGAAATTGTCTGTTTTTGACCATTTGTGCCCACGTGTCACTTTCAACGTACCTCTCTATAACATGACCCAGCTGTGACGTGAGTGGTCGCATTGATTTGATTTTTGGTTTGCTTGTAGGCCGCTGGCACCCGTACTCAGTGACGCCAAAATTTTGGCACTGCTGTGAATCGTTTAGTCGTAAAGTGAAGAATCACGGGCAAAAAGGCCCAAAACTTCGAGATAGCTTGATTTGAGCTTTGAGCAGCCCTGGGCAAGTTGTTTATTGAAATGTGACATTTTTTCTTCGTGCACTTCCCTATGTCCAGCTAAACAACAAGATCAGGGTGGCGATGGTCAGTTCTTGAGCTTCGAACGGGCAGAAAGGTGAGAAATTGTCTGTTTTTGACCATTTGTGCCCACATGTCACTTTCAACGTACCTCTCTATAACATGACCCAGCTGTGACGTGAGTGGTCGCATTGATTTGATTTTTGGTTTGCTTGTAGGCCGCTGGCACCCGCATTCAGTGACGCTAAAATTTTGGCACTGCTGTGAATAGTTTAGCCGCAAAGTGAAGAATCACGGGCAAAAAGGCCCAAAACTTCGAGATAGCTTGATTTGAGCTTTGAGCAGCCCTGGGCAAGTTGTTTATTGAAATGTGGCATTTTTTCTTCGTGCACTTCCCTATGTCCAGCTAAACAACAAGATCAGGGTGGCGATGGTCAGTTCTTGAGCTTCGAACGGGCAGAAAGGTGAGAAATTGTCTCTTTTTGACCATTTGTGCCCACGTGTCACTTTCAACGTACCTCTCTATAACATGACCCAGTTGGCACCCGCATTCAGTGACGTCAAAATTTTGGCACTGCTGTGAATAGTTTCGTCGCGAAGTGAAGAATCACGGGCAAAAAGGCCCATCACTTCGAGATAGCTTGATTTGAGCTTTGAGCAGCCCTGGGCAAGTTATTTATTGAAATGTGGCATTTTTTCTTCGTGCACTTCCCTATGTCCAGCTAAACAACAAGATCAGGGTGGCGATGGTCAGTTCTTGAGCTTGGAACGGGCAGAAAGGTGAGAAATTGTCGCTTTTTGACCATTTGTGCCCACGTGTCACTTTCAACGTACCTCTCTATAACATGACCCAGCTGTGACGTGAGTGGTCGCATTAATTTGATTTTAGGTTTGCTTGTAGGCCGCTGGCACCCGTATTCAGTGACGCTAAAATTTTGGCACTGCTGTGAATAGTTTAGCCGCAAAGTGAAGAATCACGGGCAAAAAGGCCCAACACTTCGAGATAGCTTGATTTCAGCTTTGAGCAGCCCTGGGCAAGTTGTTTATTGAAATGTGGCATTTTTTCTTCGTGCACTTCCCTATGTCCACCTAAACAACAAGATTAGGGTGGCGATGGTCAGTTCTCGAGCTTCGAACGGGCAGAAAGGTGAGAAATTGTCGCTTTTTGGCCATTTGTGCCCACGTGTCACTTTCAACGTACCTCTCTATAACATGATCCAGCTGTGACGTGAGTGGTCGCATTGATTTGATTTTTGGTTTGCTTGTAGGCCGCTGGCACCCGTATTCAGTGGCGCCAAAATTTTGGCACTGCTTTGAATCGTTTAGTCGTAAAGTGAAGAATCACGGGCAAAAAGGCCCAAAACTTCGAGATAGCTTGATTTGAGCTTTGAGCAGCCCTGGGCAAGTTGTTTATTTAAATGTGGCATTTTTTCTTCGTGCACTTCCCTATGTCCTGCTAAACAACAAGATCAGGGCGGCGATGCTCAGTTCTTGAGCTTCGAACGGGCAGAAAGGTGAGAAATTGTCGCTTTTTGACCATTTGTGCCCACGTGTCACTTTCAACGTACCTCTCTATAACATGACCCAGCTGTGACGTGAGTGGTCGCATTGATTTGATTTTTAGTTTGCTTGTAGGCCGCTGGCACCCTTATTCAGTAACGCCAAAATTTTGGCACTGCTGTGAATAGTTTAGCCGCAAAGTGAAGAATCACGGGCAAAAAGGCCCAAAACTTCGAGATAGCTTGGTTTCAGCTTTGAGCAGCCCTGGGCAAGTTGTTTATTGAAATGTGGCATTTTTTCTTCGTGCACTTCCCTATGTCCAGCTAAAAAACAAAATCAGGGTGGCGATGATCAGTTCTTGAGCTTCGAACGGGCAGAAAGGTGAGAAATTGTCGCTTTTTGGCCATTTGTGCCTACGTGTCACTTTCAACGTACCTCTCTATAACATGACCCAGCTGTGACGTGAGTGGTCGCATTGATTTGATTTTTGGTTTGCTTTTAGGCCGCTGGCACCCGTATTCAGTGACGCCAAAATTTTGGCACTGCTGTGAATCGTTTAGTCGTAAAGTGAAGAATCACGGGCAAAAAGGCCCAAAACTTCGAGATAGCTTGATTTGAGCTTTGAGCAGCCCTGGGCAAGTTGTTTATTGAAATGTGGCATTTTTTCTTCGTGCACTTCCCTATGTCCAGCTAAACAACAAGATCAGGGTGGCGATGGTCAGTTCTTGAGCTTCGAACGGGCAGAAAGGTGAGAAATTGTCTCTTTTTGACCATTTGTGCCCACGTGTCACTTTCAACGTACCTCTCTATAACATGACCCAGTTGTGACGTGAGTGGTCGCATTGATTTGATTTTTGGTTTGCTTGTAGGCCATTGGCACCCGTATTCAGTGACGTCAAAATGTTGGCACTGCTGTGAATAGTTTCGTCGCAAAGTGAAGAATCACGGGCAAAAAGGCCCAACACTTCGAGATAGCTTGATTTGAGCTTTGAGCAGCCCTGGGCAAGTTGTTTATTGAAATGTGGCATTTTTTCTTCGTGCACTTCCCTATGTCCAGCTAAACAACAAGATCAGGGTGGCGATGGTCAGTTCTTGAGCTTCGAACGGGCAGAAAGGTGAGAAATTGTCTCTTTTTGACCATTTGTGCCCACGTGTCACTTTCCACGTACCTCTCTATAACATGACCGAGTTGTGACGTGAGTGGTCGCATTGATTTGATTTTTGGTTTGCTTGTAGGCCATTGGCACCCGTATTCAGTGACGTCAAAATTTTGGCACTGCTGTGAATAGTTTCGTCGCAAAGTGAAGAATCACGGGCAAAAAGGCCCAAAACTTCGAGATAGCTTGGTTTCAGCTTTGAGCAGCCCTGGGCAAGTTGTTTATTGAAATGTGGCATTTTTTCTTCGTGCACTTCCCTATGTCCAGCTAAAAAACAACATCAGGGTGGCGATGATCAGTTCTTGAGCTTCGAACGGGCAGAAAGGTGAGAAATTGTCTCTTTTTGACCATTTGTGCCCACGTGTCACTTTCAATGTACCTCTCTATAACATAACCCAGTTGTGACGGTAGTGGTCGCATTGATTTGATTTTTGGTTTGCTTGTAGGCCATTGGCACCCGTATTCAGAGACGTCAAAATGTTTTTGCACTGCTGTGAATAGTTTCGTCGCAAAGTGAAGAATCACGGGCAAAAAGGCCCAACACTTCGAGATAGCTTGATTTGAGCTTTGAGCAGCCCTGGGCAAGTTGTTTATTGAAATGTGGCATTTTTTCTTCGTGCACTTCCCTATGTCCAGCTAAACAACAAGATCAGGGTGGCGATGGTCAGTTCTTGAGCTTCGAACGGGCAGAAAGGTGAGAAATTGTCTCTTTTTGACCATTTGTGCCCACGTGTCACTTTCAACGTACCTCTCTATAACATGACCCAGCTGTGACGTGAGTGGTCGCATTGATTTGATTTTTGGTTTGCTTGTAGGCCGCTGGCACCCGTATTCAGTGACGCCAAAATTTCGGCACTGCTGTGAATCGTTTAGTCGTAAAGTGAAGAATCACGGGCAAAAAGGCCCAAAACTTCGAGATAGCTTGATTTGAGCTTTGAGCAGCCCTGGGCAAGTTGTTTATTGAAATGTGGCATTTTTTCTTCGTGCACTTCCCTATGTCCAGCTAAACAACAAGATCAGAGTGGCGATGGTCAGTTCTTGAGCTTCGAACGGGCAGAAAGGTGAGAAATTGTCTCTTTTTGACCATTTGTGCCCACGTGTCACTTTCAACGTACCTCTCTATAACATAACCCAGTTGTGACGTGAGTGGTCGCATTGATTTGATTTTTGGTTTGCTTGTAGGCCATTGGCACCCGTATTCAGTGACGTCAAAATGTTGGCACTGCTGTGAATAGTTTCGTCGCAAAGTGAAGAATCACGGGCAAAAAGGCCTATCACTTCGAGATAGGTTGATTTGAGCTTTGAGCAGCCCTGGGCAAGTTGTTTATTGAAATGTGGCATTTTTTCTTCGTGCACTTCCCTATGTCCAGCTAAAAAACAAAATCAGGGTGGCGATGATCAGTTCTTGAGCTTCGAACGGGCAGAAAGGTGAGAAATTGTCTCTTTTTGACCATTTGTGCCCACGTGACACTTTCAATGTACCTCTCTATAACATAACCCAGTTGTGACGGTAGTGGTCGCATTGATTTGATTTTTGGTTTGCTTGTAGGCCATTGGCACCCGTATTCAGAGACGTCAAAATGTTTTTGCACTGCTGTGAATCGTTTAGTCGTAAAGTGAAGAATCACGGGCAAAAAGGCCCAAAACTTCGAGATAGCTTGATTTGAGCTTTGAGCAGCCCTGGGCAAGTTGTTTATTGAAATGTGGCATTTTTTCTTCGTGCACTTCCCTATGTCCAGCTAAACAACAAGATCAGGGCGGCGATGGTCAGTTCTTGAGCTTGGAACGGGCAGAAAGGTGAGAAATTGTCTCTTTTTGACCATTTGTGCCCACGTGTCACTTTCAACGTACCTCTCTATAACATGACCAAGTTGTGACATGAGTGGTCGCATTGATTTGATTTTTGGTTTGCTTGTAGGCCGCTGGCACTTGTATTCAGTGACGCCAAAATTTTGGCACTGCTGTGAATCGTTTAGTCGCAAAGTGAAGAATCACGGGCAAAAAGGCCCAAAACTTCAAGATAGCTTGATTTGAGCTTTGAGCAGCCCTGGGCAAGTTGTTTATTGAAATGTGGCATTTTTTCTTCGTGCACTTCCCTATGTCCAGCTAAACAACAAGATCAGGGTGGCGATGGTCAGTTATTGAGCTTCGAACGGGTAGAAAGGTGAGAAATTGTCTCTTTTTGACCATTTGTGCCCACGTGTCACTTTCAATGTACCTCTCTATAACATAACCCAGTTGTGACGGTAGTGGTCGCATTGATTTAATTTTTGGTTTGCTTGTAGGCCATTGGCACCCGTATTCAGTGACGCCAAAATTTTGGCACTTCTGTGAATAGTTTCGTCGCAAAGTGAAGAATCACGGGCAAAAAGGCCCAACACTTCGAGATAGCTTGATTTGAGCTTTGAGCAGCCCTGGGCAAGTTGTTTATTGAAATGTGGCATTTTTTCTTCGTGCACTTCCCTATGTCCAGCTAAACAACAAGATCAGGGTGGCGATGGTCGGTTCTTGAGCTTCGAACGGGCAGAAAGGTGAGAAATTGTCTCTTTTTGACCATTTGTGCCCACGTGTCACTTTCAACGTACCTCTCTATAACATAACCCAGTTGTGACGTGAGTGGTCGCATTGATTTGATTTTTGGTTTGCTTGTAGGCCATTGGCACCCGTATTCAGTGACGTCAAAATGTTTTTGCACTGCTGTGAATAGTTTCGTCGCAAAGTGAAGAATCACGGGCAAAAAGGCCCAACACTTCGAGATAGCTTGATTTGAGCTTTGAGCAGCCCTGGGCAAGTTGTTTATTGAAATGTGGCATTTTTTCTTCGTGCACTTCCCTATGTCCAGCTAAACAACAAGATCAGGGTGGCGATGGTCAGTTCTTGAGCTTCGAACGGGCAGAAAGGTGAGAAATTGTCTCTTTTTGACCATTTGTGCCCACGTGTCACTTTCAACGTACCTCTCTATAACATGACCCAGCTGTGACGTGAGTGGTCGCATTGATTTGATTTTTGGTTTGCTTGTAGGCCGCTGGCACCCGTATTCATTGACGCTAAAATTTTGGCACTGCTGTGAATAGTTTCGTCGCAAAGTGAAGAATCACGGGCAAAAAGGCCCATCACTTCGAGATAGGTTGATTTGAGCTTTGAGCAGCCCTGGGCAAGTTGTTTATTGAAATGTGGCATTTTTTCTTCGTGCTTTTCCCTATGTCCAGCTAAACAACAAGATCAGGGTGGCGATGGTCAGTTCTTGAGCTTCGAACGGGCAGAAAGGTGAGAAATTGTCGTTATTTGACCATTTGTGCCCACGTGTCACTTTCAACGTACCTCTCTATAACATGACCCAGCTGTGACGTGAGTGGTCGCATTGATTTGATTTTTGGTTTGCTTGTAGGCCGCTGGCACCCGTATTCAGTGACGCTAAAATTTTGGCACTGCTGTGAATAGTTTAGCCGCAAAGTGAAGAATCACGGGCATAAAGGCCCAAAACTTCGAGATAGCTTGATTTGAGCTTTGAGCAGCCCTGGGCAAGTTGTTTATTGAAATGTGGCATTTTTTCTTCGTGCACTTCCCTATGTCCAGCTGTAAAACAAAATCAAGGTGGCGATGGTCAGTTCTCGAGCTTCGAACGGGCAGAAAGGTGAGAAATTGTCGCTTTGTGGCCATTTGTGCCCACGTGTCACTTTCAACGTACCTCTCTATAACATGACCCAGCTGTGACGTGAGTGGTCGCATTGATTTGATTTTTGGTTTGCTTGTAGGCCGCTGGCACCCGTATTCTGTGGCGCCAAAATTTTGGCACTGCTTTGAATCGTTTAGTCGTAAAGTGAAGAATCACGGGCAAAAGGCCCAAAACTTCGAGATAGCTTGATTTGAGCTTTGAGCAGCCCTGGGCAAGTTGTTTATTGAAATGTGGCATTTTTTCTTCGTGAACTTCCCTATGTCCAGCTAAACAAGAAGATCAGGGCGGCGATGGTCAGTTCTTGAGCTTCGAACGGGCAGAAAGGTGAGAAATTGTCTCTTTTTGACCATTTGTGCCCACGTGTCACTTTCAACGTACCTCTCTATAACATGACCAAGTTGTGACATGAGTGGTCGCATTGATTTGATTTTTGGTTTGCTTGTAGGCCGCTGGCACTTGTATTCAGTGACGCCAAAATTTTGGCACTGCTGTGAATCGTTTCGTCGCAAAGTGAAGAATCACGGGCAAAAAGGCCCAAAACTTCAAGATAGCTTGATTTGAGCTTTGAGCAGCCCTGGGCAAGTTGTTTATTGAAATGTGGCATTTTTTCTTCGTGCACTTCCCTATGTCCAGCTAAACAACAAGATCAGGGTGGCGATGGTCAGTTATTGAGCTTCGAACGGGTAGAAAGGTGAGAAATTGTCTCTTTTTGACCATTTGTGCCCACGTGTCACTTTCCACGTACCTCTCTATAACATGACCGAGTTGTGACGTGAGTGGTCGCATTGATTTAATTTTTGGTTTGCTTGTAGGCCATTGGCACCCGTATTCAGTGACGCCAAAATTTTGGCACTTCTGTGAATGCTTTCGTCGCAAAGTGAAGAATCACGGGCAAAAAGGCCCATCACTTCGAGATAGGTTGATTTGAGCTTTGAGCAGCCCTGGGCAAGTTGTTTATTGAAATGTGGCATTTTTTCTTAGTGCACTTCCCTATGTCCAGCTAAACAACAAGATCAGGGTGGCGATGGTCAGTTCTTGAGCTTGGAACGGGCAGAAAGGTGAGAAATTGTCTCTTTTTGACCATTTGTGCCCACGTGTCACTTTCAACGTACCTCTCTATAACATGACCCAGTTGTGACATGAGTGGTCGCATTGATTTGATTTTTGGTTTGCTTGTAGGCCGCTGGCACCCGTATTCAGTGACGCCAAAATTTTGGCACTGCTGTGAATCGTTTAGTCGTAAAGTGAAGAATCACGGGCAAAAAGGCCCAAAACTTCGAGATAGCTTGGTTTCAGCTTTGAGCAGCCCTGGGCAAGTTGTTTATTGAAATGTGGCATTTTTTCTTCGTGCACTTCCCTATGTCCAGCTAAACAACAAGATCAGGGTGGCGATGGTCAGTTCTTGAGCTTCGAACGGGCAGAAAGGTGAGAAATTGTCGTTTTTTGACCATTTGTGCCCACGTGTCACTTTCAACGTACCTCTCTATTACATGACCCAGCTGTGACGTGAGTGGTCGCATTGATTTGATTTTCGGTTTGCTTGTAGGCCGCTGGCACCCGTATTCAGTGACGCTAAAATTTTGGCACTGTTGTGAATAGTTTCGTCGCAAAGTGAAGAATCACGGGCAAAAAGGCCCATCACTTCGAGATAGGTTGATTTGAGCTTTGAGCAGCCCTGGGCAAGTTGTTTATTGAAATGTGGCATTTTTTCTTCGTGCACTTCCCTATGTCCAGCTAAACAACAAGATCAGGGTGGCGATGGTCAGTTCTTGAGCTTCGAACGGGCAGAAAGGTGAGAAATTGTCGTTATTTGACCATTTGTGCCCACGTGTCACTTTCAACGTACCTCTCTATAACATGACCCAGCTGTGACGTGAGTGGTCGCATTGATTTGATTTTTGGTTTGCTTGTAGGCCGCTGGCACCCGTATTCAGTGACGCTAAAATTTTGGCACTGCTGTGAATAGTTTAGCCGCAAAGTGAAGAATCACGGGCAAAAAGGCCCAAAACTTCGAGATAGCTTGATTTGAGCTTTGAGCAGCCCTGGGCAAGTTGTTTATTGAAATGTGGCATTTTTTCTTCGTGCACTTCCCTATGTCCAGCTGAAAAACAAGATTAGCGTGGCGATGATCAGTTCTCGAGCTTCGAACGGGCAGAAAGGTGAGAAATTGTCGCTTTTTGGCCATTTGTGCCCACGTGTCACTTTCAACGTACCTCTCTATAACATGACCCAGCTGTGACGTGAGTGGTCGCATTGATTTGATTTTTGGTTTGCTTGTAGGCCGCTGGCACCCGTATTCTGTGGCGCCAAAATTTTGGCACTGCTTTGAATCGTTTAGTCGTAAAGTGAAGAATCACGGGCAAAAGGCCCAAAACTTCAAGATAGCTTGATTTGAGCTTTGAGCAGCCCTGGGCAAGTTGTTTATTGAAATGTGGCATTTTTTCTTCGTGCACTTCCCTATGTCCAGCTAAACAACAAGATCAGGGTGGCGATGGTCAGTTCTTGAGCTTCGAACGGGTAGAAAGGTGAGAAATTGTCTCTTTTTGACCATTTGTGCCCACGTGTCACTTTCAATGTACCTCTCTATAACATAACCCAGTTGTGACGGTAGTGGTCGCATTGATTTAATTTTTGGTTTGCTTGTAGGCCATTGGCACCCGTATTCAGTGACGCCAAAATTTTGGCACTTCTGTGAATAGTTTCGTCGCAAAGTGAAGAATCACGGGCAAAAAGGCCCAACACTTCGAGATAGCTTGATTTGAGCTTTGAGCAGCCCTGGGCAAGTTGTTTATTGAAATGTGGCATTTTTTCTTCGTGCACTTCCCTATGTCCAGCTAAACAACAAGATCAGGGTGGCGATGGTCAGTTCTTGAGCTTCGAACGGGCAGTAAGGTGAGAAATTGTCGCTTTTTGACCATTTGTGCCCACGTGTCACTTTCAACGTACAGTCTGTATCGGCTATAGCGTACCCTTTTGATTTCCGTGATTTTATCACTATAACCGATGCATCACTATATGCGATACGATCGATTTTTTCCTTTTTTCGATCGACACATGAAAGGCAAGGAAATACTTCCAGCTAGCATGGCGTTTTGACAAATGAGCATGCTGCATAGTTGACAGTGCCCGCATTTCCATAAAAGAATTCTGTTATGTACATGTACATGTATCACTATAAAAATAAGCAACGTGAAGAAAGTAAAAAAAAGGGCCTTTGATATTATTGCTACATGTATTTTAAAGTTATCACTATAGCCGATAATAATATAGTGTGTTATGCATGTTTTGATTCTTTGTTGCCATCATAATATCCGATATATCATAACATCCGATAATATTGGTTATAGTGATATTTGTACTGGACAAAATACGTTTTGCTTTTGATATTTCGTACCAATATCACTGTAGCCGATATATTCTTATATCCGGTCACTCTATAGCCGATACAGACTGTACCTCTCTATAACATGACCCAGTTGTGACATGAGTGGTCGCATTGATTTGATTTTTGGTTTGCTTGTAGGCCGCTGGCACCCGTATTCAGTGACGCCAAAATTTTGGCACTGCTGTGAAAAGTTTAGCCGCAAAGTGAAGAATCACGGGCAAAAAGGCCCAAAACTTCGAGATAGCTTGGTTTCAGCTTTGAGCAGCCCTGGGCAAGTTGTTTATTGAAATGTGGCATTTTTTCTTCGTGCACTTCCCTATGTCCAGCTAAACAACAAGATCAGGGTGGCGATGGTCAGTTCTTGAGCTTCGAACGGGCAGAAAGGTGAGAAATTGTCTCTTTTTGACCATTTGTGCCCACGTGTCACTTTCAACGTACCTCTCTATAACATGACCCAGCTGTGACATGAGTGGTCGCATTGATTTGATTTTTGGTTTGCTTGTAGGCCATTGGCACCCGTATTCAGTGACGTCAAAATGTTGGCACTGCTGTGAATAGTTTAGTCGCAAAGTGAAGAACCACGGGCAAAAAGGCCCAAAACTTCGAGATAGGTTGATTTGAGCTTTGAGCAGCCCTGGGCAAGTTGTTTATTGAAATGTGGCATTTTTTCTTCGTGCACTTCCCTATGTCCAGCTAAACAACAAGATCAGGGTGGCGATGGTCAGTTCTTGAGCTTCGAACGGGCAGAAAGGTGAGAAATTGTCTCTTTTTGACCATTTGTGCCCACGTGTCACTTTCCACGTACCTCTCTATAACATGACCGAGTTGTGACGTGAGTGGTCGCATTGATTTGATTTTTGGTTTGCTTGTAGGCCATTGGCACCCGTATTCAGTGACGTCAAAATTTTGGCACTGCTGTGAATGCTTTCGTCGCAAAGTGAAGAATCACGGGCAAAAAGGCCCATCACTTCGAGATAGGTTGATTTGAGCTTTGAGCAGCCCTGGGCAAGTTGTTTATTGAAATGTGGCATTTTTTCTTAGTGCACTTCCCTATGTCCAGCTAAACAACAAGATCAGGGTGGCGATGGTCAGTTCTTGAGCTTGGAACGGGCAGAAAGGTGAGAAATTGTCTCTTTTTGACCATTTGTGCCCATGTGTCACTTTCAACGTACCTCTCTATAACATGACCCAGCTGTGATGTGAGTGGTCGCATTGATTTGATTTTTGGTTTGCTTGTAGGCCGCTGGCACCCGTATTCAGTGACGCCAAAATTTTGGCACTGCTGTGAATAGTTTAGTCATAAAGTGAAGAATCACGGGCAAAAAGGCCCAAAACTTCGAGATAGCTTGATTTGAGCTTTGAGCAGCCCTGGGCAAGTTGTTTATTGAAATGTGGCATTTTTTCTTCGTGCACTTCCCTATGTCCAGCTAAACAACAAGATCAGGGTGGCGATGGTCAGTTCTTGAGCTTCGAACGGGCAGAAAGGTGAGAAATTGTCTCTTTTTGACCATTTGTGCCCACGTGTCACTTTCAACGTACCTCTCTATAACATAACCCAGTTGTGACGTGAGTGGTCGCATTGATTTGATTTTTGGTTTGCTTGTAGGCCATTGGCACCCGTATTCAGTGACGTCAAAATGTTGGCACTGCTGTGAATAGTTTCGTCGCAAAGTGAAGAATCACGGGCAAAAAGGCCCATCACTTCGAGATAGGTTGATTTGAGCTTTGAGCAGCCCTGGGCAAGTTGTTTATGGACATGTGGCATTTTTCTTCGTGCACTTCCCTATGTCCAGCTAAACAACAAGATCAGGGTGGCGATGGTCAGTTCTTGAGCTTCGAACGGGCAGAAAGGTGAGAAATTGTCGTTTTTTGACCATTTGTGCCCACGTGTCACTTTCAACGTACCTCTATAACATGACCCAGCTGTGACGTGAGTGGTCGCATTGATTTGATTTTCGGTTTGCTTGTAGGCCGCTGGCACCCGTATTCAGTGACGCTAAAATTTTGGCACTGCTGTGAATAGTTTCGTCGCAAAGTGAAGAATCACGGGCAAAAAGGCCCATCACTTCGAGATAGGTTGATTTGAGCTTTGAGCAGCCCTGGGCAAGTTGTTTATTGAAATGTGGCATTTTTTCTTCGTGCACTTCCCTATGTCCAGCTAAACAACAAGATCAGGGTGGCGATGGTCAGTTCTTGAGCTTCGAACGGGCAGAAAGGTGAGAAATTGTCGTTATTTGACCATTTGTGCCCACGTGTCACTTTCAACGTACCTCTCTATAACATGACCCAGCTGTGACGTGAGTGGTCGCATTGATTTGATTTTTGGTTTGCTTGTAGGCCGCTGGCACCCGTATTCAGTGACGCTAAAATTTTGGCACTGCTGTGAATAGTTTAGCCGCAAAGTGAAGAATCACGGGCAAAAAGGCCCAAAACTTCGAGATAGCTTGATTTCAGCTTTGAGCAGCCCTGGGCAAGTTGTTTATTGAAATGTGGCATTTTTTCTTCGCGCACTTCCCTATGTCCAGCTGAAAAACAAGATTAGCGTGGCGATGATCAGTTCTCGAGCTTCGGACCGGCAGAAAGGTGAGAAATTGTCGCTTTTTGGCCATTTGTGCCCACGTGTCACTTTCAACGTACCTCTCTATAACATGACCCAGCTGTGACGTGAGTGGTCGCATTGATTTGATTTTTGGTTTGCTTGTAGGCCGCTGGCACCCGTATTCTGTGGCGCCAAAATTTTGGCACTGCTTTGAATCGTTTAGTCGTAAAGTGAAGAATCACGGGCAAAAGGCCCAAAACTTCGAGATAGCTTGATTTCAGCTTTGAGCAGCCCTGGGCAAGTTGTTTATTGAAATGTGGCATTTTTTCTTCGTGCACTTCCCTATGTCCAGCTAAACAACAAGATCAGGGCGGCGATGGTCAGTTCTTGAGCTTCGAACGGGCAGAAAGGTGAGAAATTGTCTCTTTTTGACCATTTGTGCCCACGTGTCACTTTCAACGTACCTCTCTATAACATGACCAAGTTGTGACATGAGTGGTCGCATTGATTTGATTTTTGGTTTGCTTGTAGGCCGCTGGCACTCGTATTCAAGGACTCCAAAATTTTAGCACTGCTGTGAATCGTTTAGTCGCAAAGTGAAGAATCACGGGCAAAAAGGCCCAAAACTTCGAGATAGCTTGATTTAAGCTTTGAGCAGCCCTGGGCAAGTTGTTTATTGAAATGTGGCATTTTTTCTTCGTGCACTTCCCTATGTCCAGCTAAACAACAAGATCAGGGTGGCGATGGTCAGTTCTTGAGCTTCGAACGGGCAGAAAGGTGAGAAATTGTCTCTTTTTGACCATTTGTGCCCACGTGTCACTTTCAATGTACCTCTCTATAACATGACCAAGTTGTGACATGAGTGGTCGCATTGATTTGATTTTTGGTTTGCTTGTAGGCCGCTGGCACTCGTATTCAGTGACGCCAAAATTTTGGCACTGCTGTGAATCGTTTAGTCGCAAAGTGAAGAATCACGGGCAAAAAGGCCCAAAACTTCAAGATAGCTTGATTTGAGCTTTGAGCAGCCCTGGGCAAGTTGTTTATTGAAATGTGGCATTTTTTCTTCGTGCACTTCCCTATGTCCAGCTAAACAACAAGATCAGGGTGGCGATGGTCAGTTATTGAGCTTCGAACGGGCAGAAAGGTGAGAAATTGTCTCTTTTTGACCATTTGTGCCCACGTGTCACTTTCAATGTACCTCTCTATAACATAACCCAGTTGTGACGGTAGTGGTCGCATTGATTTGATTTTTGGTTTGCTTGTAGGCCATTGGCACCCGTATTCAGTGACGTCAAAATTTTGGCACTTCTGTGAATAGTATCGTCACAAAGTGAAGAATCACGGGCAAAAAGGCCCAACACTTCGAGATAGCTTGATTTGAGCTTTGAGCAGCCCTGGGCAAGTTGTTTATTGAAATGTGGCATTTTTTCTTCGTGCACTTCCCTATGTCCAGCTAAACAACAAGATCAGGGTGGCGATGGTCAGTTCTTGAGCTTCGAACGGGCAGTAAGGTGAGAAATTGTCGCTTTTTGACCATTTGTGCCCACGTATCACTTTCAACGTACCTCTCTATAACATGACCCAGTTGTGACATGAATGGTCGCATTGATTTGATTTTTGGTTTGCTTGTAGGCCGCTGGCACCCGTATTCAGTGACGCCAAAATTTTGGCACTGCTGTGAATCGTTTAGTCGCAAAGTGAAGAATCACGGGCAAAAAGGCCCAAAACTTCGAGATAGCTTGATTTCAGCTTTGAGCAGCCCTGGGCAAGTTGTTTATTGAAATGTGGCATTTTATTCTTCGTGCACTTCCCTATGTCCAGCTAAAAAACAAGATTAGTGTGGCGATGGTCAGTTCTTGAGCTTCGAACGGGCAGAAAGGTGAGAAATTGTCGCTTTTTGGCCATTTGTGCCCACGTGTCACTTTCAACGTACCTCTCTATAACATGACCCAGCTGTGACGTGAGTGGTCGCATTGATTTGATTTTTGGTTTGCTTGTAGGCCGCTGGCACCCGTATTCCGTGGCGCCAAAATTTTGGCACTGCTTTGAATCGTTTAGTCGTAAAGTGAATAATCACGGGCAAAAGGCCCAAAACTTCGAGATAGCTTGATTTCAGCTTTGAGCAGCCCTGGGCAAGTTGTTTATTGAAATGTGGCATTTTTTCTTCGTGCACTTCCCTATGTCCAGCTAAACAAGAAGATCAGGGCGGCGATGGTCAGTTCTTGAGCTTCGAACGGGCAGAAAGGTGAGAAATTGTCTCTTTTTGACCATTTGTGCCCACGTGTCACTTTCAACGTACCTCTCTATAACATGACCAAGTTGTGACATGAGTGGTCGCATTGATTTGATTTTTGGTTTGCTTGTAGGCCGCTGGCACTCGTATTCAGTGACGCCAAAATTTTGGCACTGCTGTGAATCGTTTAGTCGCAAAGTGAAGAATCACGGGCAAAAAGGCCCAAAACTTCAAGATAGCTTGATTTGAGCTTTGAGCAGCCCTGGGCAAGTTGTTTATTGAAATGTGGCATTTTTTCTTCGTGCACTTCCCTATGTCCAGCTAAACAACAAGATCAGGGTGGCGATGGTCAGTTCTTGAGCTTCGAACGGGCAGAAAGGTGAGAAATTGTCTCTTTTTGACCATTTGTGCCCACGTGTCACTTTCAATGTACCTCTCTATAACATAACCCAGTTGTGACGGTAGTGGTCGCATTGATTTGATTTTTGGTTTGCTTGTAGGCCATTGGCACCCGTATTCAGTGACGTCAAAATTTTGGCACTTCTGTGAATAGTTTCGTCGCAAAGTGAAGAATCACGGGCAAAAAGGCCCAACACTTCGAGATAGCTTGATTTGAGCTTTGAGCAGCCCTGGGCAAGTTGTTTATTGAAATGTGGCATTTTTTCTTCGTGCACTTCCCTATGTCCAGCTAAACAACAAGATCAGGGTGGCGATGGTCAGTTCTTGAGCTTCGAACGGGCAGTAAGGTGAGAAATTGTCGCTTTTTGACCACTGGCGGCGATGGTCAGCTTTGTAGGCCGCTGGCACCCGTATTCAGTGACGCCAAAATTTTGGCACTGCTGTGAATCGTTTAGTCGCAAAGTGAAGAATCACGGGCAAAAAGGCCCAAAACTTCGAGATAGCTTGATTTCAGCTTTGAGCAGCCCTGGGCAAGTTGTTTATTGAAATGTGGCATTTTATTCTTCGTGCACTTCCTTGTAGGCCGCTGGCACCCGTATTCAGTGACGCTAAAATTTTGGCACTGCTGTGAATAGTTTAGCCGCAAAGTGAAGAATCACGGGCAAAAAGGCCCAAAACTTCGAGATAGCTTGATTTGAGCTTTGAGCAGCCCTGGGCAAGTTGTTTATTGAAATGTGGCATTTTTTCTTCGTGCACTTCCCTATGTCCAGCTAAAAAACAAGATTAGTGTGGCGATGGTCAGTTCTCGAGCTTCGAACGGGCAGAAAGGTGAGAAATTGTCTCTTTTTGACCATTTGTGCCCACGTGTCACTTTCAACGTACGTCTCTATAACATGAACCAGCTGTGGCGTGAGTGATCGCATTGATTTGATTTTTGGTTTGTTTGTAGGCCGCTGGCACCCGTATTCAGTGGCGCCAAAATTTTGGCACTGCTTTGAATCGTTTAGTCGTAAAGTGAAGAATCACGGGCAAAAAGGCCCAAAACTTCGAGATAGCTTGATTTGAGCTTTGAGCAGCCCTGGGCAAGCTGTTGATTGAAATGTGGCATTTTTTCTTCGTGCACTTCCCTATGTCCAGCTAAACAACAAGATCAGGGCGGCGATGCTCAGTTCTTGAGCTTCGAACGGGCAGAAAGGTGAGAAATTGTCGCTTTTTGACCATTTGTGCCCACGTGTCACTTTCAACGTACCTCTCTATAACATGGCCCCGCTGTGATTTAATTGGTCGCATTGATTTGATTTTTGGTTTGCTTGTAGGCCGCTGGCACCCGTATTCAGTGACGCCAAAATTTTGGCACTGCTGTGAATCGTTTAGTCGTAAAGTGAAGAATCACGGGCAAAAAGGCCCAAAACTTCGAAATAGCTTGATTTGAGCTTTGAGCAGCCCTGGGCAAGTTGTTTATTGAACTGTGGCATTTTTTCTTCGTGCACTTCCCTATGTCCAGCTAAACAACAAGATCAGGGTGGCGATGGTCAGTTCTTGAGCTTAGAACGGGCAGAAAGGTGAGAAATTGTCTCTTTTTGACCATTTGTGCCCACGTGTCACTTTCAACGTACCTCTCTATAACATGAACCAGCTGTGACGTGAGTGGTCGCATTGATTTGATTTTTGGTTTGCTTGTAGGCCGCTGGCACCCGTATTCAGTGGCGCCAAAATTTTGGCACTGCTTTGAATCGTTTAGTCGTAAAGTGAAGAATCACGGGCCAAAAGGCCCAAAACTTCGAGATAGCTTGATTTGAGCTTTGAGCAGCCCTGGGCAAGCTGTTGATTGAAATGTGGCATTTTTTCTTCGTGCACTTCCCTATGTCCAGCTAAACAACAAGATCAGGGCGGCGATGCTCAGTTCTTGAGCTTCGAACGGGCAGAAAGGTGAGAAATTGTCGCTTTTTGACCATTTGTGCCCACGTGTCACTTTCAACGTACCTCTCTATAACATGGCCCCGCTGTGATTTAATTGGTCGCATTGATTTGATTTTTGGTTTGCTTGTAGGCCGCTGGCACCCGTATTCAGTGACGCCAAAATTTTGGCACTGCTGTGAATCGTTTAGTCGTAAAGTGAAGAATCACGGGCAAAAAGGCCCAACACTTCGAGATAGCTTGATTTGAGCTTTGAGCAGCCCTGGGCAAGTTGTTTATTGAAATGTGGCATTTTTTCTTCGTGCACTTCCCTATGTCCAGCTAAACAACAAGATCAGGGCGGCGATGCTCAGTTCTTGAGCTTCGAACGGGCAGAAAGGTGAGAAATTGTCGCTTTTTGACCATTTGTGCCCACGTGTCACATTCGACGTACCTCTCTATAACATGACCCAGTTGTGACATGAGTGGTCGCATTGATTTGATTTTTGGTTTGCTTGTAGGCCGCTGGCACCCGTATTCAGTGACGCTAAAATTTTGGCACTGCTGTGAATAGTTTCGTCGCAAAGTGAAGAATCACGGGCAAAAAGGCCCATCACTTCGAGATAGGTTGATTTGAGCTTTGAGCAGCCCTGGGCAAGTTGTTTATTGAAATGTGGCATTTTTTCTTCGTGCTTTTCCCTATGTCCAGCTAAACAACAAGATCAGGGTGGCGATGGTCAGTTCTTGAGCTTCGAACGGGCAGAAAGGTGAGAAATTGTCTCTTTTTGACCATTTGTGCCCACGTGTCACTTTCAACGTACCTCTCTATAACATGACCCAGCTGTGACGTGAGTGGTCGCATTGATTTGATTTTTGGTTTGCTTTTAGGCCGCTGGCACCCGTATTCAGTGACGCCAAAATTTGGGCACTGCTATGAATAATTTAGCCGCAAAGTGAAGAATCACGGGCAAAAAGGCCCAAAACTTCGAGATAGCTTGATTTGAGCTTTGAGCAGCCCTGGGCAATGTGTTTATTGAAATGTGGCATTTTTTCTTCGTGCACTTCCCTATGTCCAGCTAAACAACAAGATCAGGGCGGCGATGCTCAGTTCTTGAGCTTCGAACGGGCAGAAAGGTGAGAAATTGTCGCTTTTTGACCATTTGTGCCCACGTGTCACTTTCAACGTACCTCTCTATAACATGGCCCCGCTGTGATTTAATTGGTCGCATTGATTTGATTTGTGGTTTGCTTGTAGGCCGCTGGCACCCGTATTCAGTGACGCCAAAATTTTGGCACTGCTGTGAATCGTTTAGTCGTAAAGTGAAGAATCACGGGCAAAAAGGCCCAAAACTTCGAAATAGCTTGATTTGAGCTTTGAGCAGCCCTGGGCAAGTTGTTTATTGAAATGTGGCATTTTTTCTTCGTGCACTTCCCTATGTCCAGCTAAACAACAAGATCAGGGTGGTGATGGTCAGTTCTTGAGCTTAGAACGGGCAGAAAGGTGAGAAATTGTCTCTTTTTGACCATTTGTGCCCACGTGTCACTTTCAACGTATCTCTCTATAACATGACCCAGTTGTGACGTGAGTGGTCGCATTGATTTGATTTTGGTTTGCTTGTAGGCCGCTGGCACCCGTATTCAGTGACGCCAAAATTTTGGCACTGCTATGAATAATTTAGCCGCAAAGTGAAGAATCACGGGCAAAAAGGCCCAAAACTTCGAGATAGCTTGATTTGAGCTTTGAGCAGCCCTGGGCAATGTGTTTATTGAAATGTGGCATTTTTTCTTCGTGCACTTCCCTATGTCCAGCTAAACAACAAGATCAGGGTGGCGATGGTCAGTTTTTCAGCTTCGAACGGGCAGAGAGGTGAGAAATTGTCGCTTTTTGACCATTTGTGCCCACGTGTCACTTTCAACGTACCTCTCTATAACATGACCCAGCTGTGATGTGAGTGGTCGCATTGATTTGATTTTTGGTTTGCTTGTAGGCCGCTGGCACCCGTATTCAGTGACGCTAAAATTTTGGCACTGCTGTGAATAGTTTAGCCGCAAAGTGAAGAATCACGGGCAAAAAGGCCCAAAACTTCGAGATAGCTTGATTTCAGCTTTGAGCAGCCCTGGGCAAGTTGTTTATTGAAATGTGGCATTTTTTCTTCGTGCACTTCCCTATGTTCAGCTAAACAACAAGATCAGCGTGGCGATGGTCAGTTCTTGAGCTTCGAACGGGCAGAAAGGTGAGAAATTGTCGCTTTTTGACCATTTGTGCCCACGTGTCACTTTCAACGTACCTCTCTATAACATGACCCAGCTGTGACGTGAGTGGTCGCATTGATTTGATTTTTGGTTTCCTTGTAGGCCGCTGGCACCCGTATTCAGTGACGCTAAAATTTTGGCACTGCTTTGAATCGTTTAGTCGTAAAGTGAAGAATCACGGGCAAAAAGGCCCAAAACTTCGAGATAGCTTGATTTGAGCTTTGAGCAGCCCTGGGCGAGTTGTTTATTGAAATGTGGCATTTTTTCTTCGTGCACTTCCCTATGTCCAGCTAAACAACAAGATCAGGGTGGCGATGGTCAGTTTTTCAGCTTCGAACGGGCAGAGAGGTGAGAAATTGTCGCTTTTTGACCATTTGTGCCCACGTGTCACTTTCAACGTACCTCTCTATAACATGACCCAGCTGTGATGTGAGTGGTCGCATTGATTTGATTTTTGGTTTGCTTGTAGGCCGCTGGCACCCGTATTCAGTGACGCTAAAATTTTGGCACTGCTGTGAATAGTTTAGCCGCAAAGTGAAGAATCACGGGCAAAAAGGCCCAAAACTTCGAGATAGCTTGATTTCAGCTTTGAGCAGCCCTGGGCAAGTTGTTTATTGAAATGTGGCATTTTTTCTTCGTGCACTTCCCTATGTCCAGCTAAACAACAAGATCAGCGTGGCGATGGTCAGTTCTTGAGCTTCGAACGGGCAGAACGGTGAGAAATTGTCGCTTTTTGACCATTTGTGCCCACGTGTCACTTTCAACGTACCTCTCTATAACATGACCCAGCTGTGACGTGAGTGGTCGCATTGATTTGATTTTTGGTTTCCTTGTAGGCCGCTGGCACCCGTATTCAGTGACGCTAAAATTTTGGCACTGCTGTGAATAGTTTAGCCGCAAAGTGAAGAATCACGGGCAAAAAGGCCCAAAACTTCGAGATAGCTTGATTTCAGCTTTGAGCAGCCCTGGGCAAGTTGTTTATTGAAATGTGGCATTTTTTCTTCGTGCACTTCCCTATGTCCAGCTAAAAAACAAGATTAGTGTGGCGATGGTCAGTTCTCGATCTTCGAACGGGCAGAAAGGTTGAGAAATTGTCGCTTTTTGACCATTTGTGCCCACGTGTCACTTTCAACGTACCTCTCTATAACATGACCCAGCTGTGACGTGAGTGGTCGCATTGATTTGATTTTTGGTTTGCTTGTAGGCCGCTGGCACCCATATTCAATGGCGCCAAAATTTTGGCACTGCTTTGAATCGTTTAGTCGTAAAGTGAAGAATCACGGGCAAAAAGGCCCAAAACTTCGAGATAGCTTGATTTGAGCTTTGAGCAGCCCTGGGCGAGTTGTTTATTGAAATGTGGCATTTTTTCTTCGTGCACTTCCCTATGTCCAGCTAAACAACAAGATCAGGGTGGCGATGGTCAGTTTTTCAGCTTCGAACGGGCAGAGAGGTGAGAAATTGTCGCTTTTTGACCATTTGTGCCCACGTGTCACTTTCAACGTACCTCTCTATAACATGACCCAGCTGTGATGTGAGTGGTCGCATTGATTTGATTTTTGGTTTGCTTGTAGGCCGCTGGCACCCGTATTCAGTGACGCTAAAATTTTGGCACTGCTGTGAATAGTTTAGCCGCAAAGTGAAGAATCACGGGCAAAAAGGCCCAAAACTTCGAGATAGCTTGATTTCAGCTTTGAGCAGCCCTGGGCAAGTTGTTTATTGAAATGTGGCATTTTTTCTTCGTGCACTTCCCTATGTCCAGCTAAACAACAAGATCAGCGTGGCGATGGTCAGTTCTTGAGCTTCGAACGGGCAGAACGGTGAGAAATTGTCGCTTTTTGACCATTTGTGCCCACGTGTCACTTTCAACGTACCTCTCTATAACATGACCCAGCTGTGACGTGAGTGGTCGCATTGATTTGATTTTTGGTTTCCTTGTAGGCCGCTGGCACCCGTATTCAGTGACGCTAAAATTTTGGCACTGCTGTGAATAGTTTAGCCGCAAAGTGAAGAATCACGGGCAAAAAGGCCCAAAACTTCGAGATAGCTTGATTTCAGCTTTGAGCAGCCCTGGGCAAGTTGTTTATTGAAATGTGGCATTTTTTCTTCGTGCACTTCCCTATGTCCAGCTAAAAAACAAGATTAGTGTGGCGATGGTCAGTTCTCGATCTTCGAACGGGCAGAAAGGTTGAGAAATTGTCGCTTTTTGACCATTTGTGCCCACGTGTCACTTTCAACGTACCTCTCTATAACATGACCCAGCTGTGACGTGAGTGGTCGCATTGATTTGATTTTTGGTTTGCTTGTAGGCCGCTGGCACCCATATTCAATGGCGCCAAAATTTTGGCACTGCTTTGAATCGTTTAGTCGTAAAGTGAAGAATCACGGGCAAAAAGGCCCAAAACTTCGAGATAGC